CAAGAATAATTATAATGGAGAAAGAGTAAAGTTTGTGTAAAAATAACCTCGTAATTAAATTGTATCGGTTAATAACGATAAAAACATTTGGTGTCAATTGTTAATATTTTCACATTTAGACTCAGTCTCAAACAAGAACTCTTTCATTGATATAAAACTGCTCTTATGTATATGTTATCTAATTACTATTTGCTGCCATAGGCATTTACACGGTTAATATTTTCTTTACTTTTTGTGAAAATCGTAACAAGCGAGAAAAAGAATGATTAAAAATTATAATTTCTATATAATTTTTAATCATAAAGATAGTAGGTAATAAAACACCGTTCGTGCTTAGCGATTATTCATTATATTAAATTTAGCATTTTGAGCACCTCCCTTCATAGTGTTATGAAACATCAGTATGGGTTGTAACTGAACTAAGACATGATGCATAGAATCACTATTGTATAATGATATAATAATGTGATATAATCTAGTAACAAAACGAAGTACATAAAGAACGTATGCTGTATAATCTTGTTCAGTTTTTATCCCTTTTCATGTGCGAATTTAGCAGTTACTGTGATGATCTGAATAAAGAACATGATTACTGAGGCTGACTGACTGATGGTCGGAAGGACGAAAGGAGAAATTAATTGAGCGTGAAGAACGAAAGAAGGTGAGATATGTATCACTTTACACCCAGTAACACTTCATAATGTACCTCAATTTACATTGCCTTTCCGCTAGAGATTAACAAAATCCCACCAGTCATGGTGACAAGAGTACTTTGAGGGGTCAGCTCGGCACATTGGCTCCAGTTATACACAATTACGATGTGAGCTGTAATTTGTGGATCTCCGGTTAGACCTTGTTATACCATTAGGCGTGACAGCATGTTACAATTGTCTATATATGCACACGACTTTTTTCAACAATGATGCATTTCACATTTATCAAATCACTCTTCTGCACTAAAGTGGATTGGTGAAGACGAAAAACTTCTGTGACATGCGGGCCAGGATTAATTGTCTGAACGAATAGGCGCCGTCAGGATCGAACTCAAGTACTTCATGGTACTCGACAAGCATCTTAACACATTGAAATGAAATGGATGGAGTTTTTAACGTTCTAGTTTTCTACACCTGCTAATGAGGACAAGCAACGCCATGCTGTGTTCAATGAGGAAATAATTGCCAGGACAGCGGCATTATCCTAATCTTGATTGATTTCAAACTGTATCTTCACCATTCCTCAGTAATCTTGTTACCCCAAGCTGTGAATGAGTACCATAACCTTTTTCCATTTTTTGTATGTGTGAATATTAACCTCTTAAAATACATCTTTTATTATACAATTAAAAATACTTTTATTTTATTTTATGTTTAAAAATGTGACCTATTTTGAAAATGTAAATTGCAGCTTGCGGCAGAAATTTAATAAAAAAAAAATGATCGTCTGCACAAATTAAATAATAGTGTATGTTCAATTGTTGGTATAATGACACAGATAAAAGTGTCCTAACGCATTGAGGAAATATCTTTGAAGCAAGCGACACACTTTAACTTTTCTGTTACTTACACTGGCAGCCATGTTACAACAAATGAGACAATATGTCGCGACAGTTCAAAACTTCGGATTGAAAATAAGGCAATGATGCTTGTGACTGCTTTGGAAAATAGTGTTCTAAGTAGTGTTCTATTCAGCATTCAGACTCGATACAACTATATCAAGTATACCCAAGGAACATTTCTTGGATATGACACCCTTTTCGTTTCCAGAGAGTCTACATTCCACTACTTTGTCCGAGCTTGTTTCTATCCATTTTATTTTCCCTTTGAAGTGATACATGTTGGGACATTAACATTCATTCCATATCAGTGACCTTAGTTTTGCGCGGTTGACAATCTTTCCGGGATATTTACCAAATACGCCCGGAGAAATACAGCTTGAACATCAGATAGAAGATGATATTCTGTGATATGTGTCAGAATGAGTTGCTGTGGGCCGTTATCTATATCGATATACCCAAGGCTATGCTAGAAATAGTATAAGAAATGTATTTTTATTGTTATTTACCCTGAACAGCCCGTCCCAAGACTATAAAAACACTGACTTGTGTCTCGGGTATAGGATGTTTTTGCGTCCAATATGAATAATTAGTTTTAACTAACATATGAAATATTGATATAAATAAATATGTATAAATTTGAGCTAACCCAGTTCATGATTTATCGGCTGAAGATTGAAACAATGAACAGTGGTGGCACAAACCTCCCGAGACTGGGGAAACAAAAAGGGGGCAGACTGACTCGATGGTCAGACAACCGTCGAGGCTGAATTAAAAATGCGGGAACTAGGTGAATTTGTTACAGTCGCAAGGCTGTCATTGAACGTCTGAAAGGGCTCTCCCAAGATTTTCCGAAAAATTGAATTGATTTGGTGCATTCCATGAAATATTTTAAGGCAAAATCGTATAAAAATCATATTGTCAAATATGAAGTGGGGGTACAAATGGGGTACAAATGCCCCAGCCCCACCAGTAACCCGACTGGCGCTACAATTGACAATAAGGGTCTATAGTGTATCCGTATGTTCCTCGAAATTCTAATTATTTTATTAAAGGGGGATAAATTTGTAGTTATAATATCTCAGGACTCATACGACTTATTCAATAACACTCTGAAAACTTTTCAATAAGTCACACGAAAGCCTGACCAATACTGTACAGGAAACGACTATTTTAAAAACCTATTCGTCCACATCTAGATCTTTCCCCCGTGTGGCTCTCACACAATAGCGTATATGGCTGCGAATTAGAATAACGGTCATAAAATTCGAACGCAACTCTCGGGCAGCTAAGTTGTGAGTGTCTCTCGGAACTCATGTTCACTTACATTACAACTACTGAACTGGTATTCCTAATGCCATGAGAGCACCTTGCGATATAAAAATTACACTTTTAGCAAGCTAAAACAATAAAAACGGAAGAGAAAAGAATGCCTAAAATTACCACGGACTTCATATACAATCATAAGTGCATATTTTATTTGTGGTCTGCCTCTATTTATACTTTGTTATAATTATTAGTTACACAGTCTCATAACTTTCGTTTGTTACTTTCTTCACAGATAACTCCCCGACTAAAGAGAGATAACTCTTTACTTAACTTGAACAATACTTAACGAATACAATCATGTGTAAAGCAAATTTCCGTTATCAGTAACTGCTGCAATTAATGCTTATAATGAAATGATTTGATCATCTTCACAAAGTTACTACGAATTTGTATTGAATTCAAGGTATAAGACGATAAGATAAGTATATTGACATTGTGAAGATGGCACAGAACCTCTTCAACTGTTATTCAAAATTCTATATTAGCATACATCAATGGTTTGTTACTCACGTGTCCATGGTGTGATGAACGCATTTGGTTCAAAACATTGACACGATCAGTCCACATTATTTTTAGGTAGTTCAAGAAATACTGAACACAGTACAAGTCTAGTTTGACTAGTTGCAGTGCGTTCTTCTTTCTTTGTCTTTGTTTTATTCCAGTTTCTGCATTGTTAAGTAAATGACTATTTTTTGTTTCCGCATTGCTGTTTTTTTTGTGTTCATCTCAGGAGCTTATTTCTCGGAACGGCAATAGGAGCGCCAAAACGGATTTCATGACGTTTTCTAACTTGTGGCTAATTGCGTATTGAATGGAAAACGGAACTATTTCGTACAACCAAAATAGCATAAAGTTGCAGCGATTTCATCTTTTCATTTTTGGAATCCACGAAGAAAATTCAATATTTCAAATTTTAAAAATTTCTAACACACTTTTCTTAACCGATATATTTCGCTTTTTTACGAGGTTTTTAGTCTGATTGATCTGAAATGTTTGGTGCACTGGTAGATCACAAATGTAAACAAATTGGTACAATCAAAATATTTGATCAACTTCCGGTTTAGATCTAAGTACTTCCGGTGGCATTTTATTCGATACCAATTGCGTTTTTTTAAAATAAAAAGTTGATTCTTACTTGTATTGTAACTGTAAATTTGACTATCGCCCCATCAACTCCAGCCTTAAATGTGAAAATATGAATATCTCATGATCTTATAACTGTAGACGTGTTGAAATTTGAAGCATATTTTAAAATTGTACACAATCATGATAAGAGGAATGAAAAATTGTATGGAGTGGTCGTGGCACATCCTGGTTGCATTCACATTTACGTTATATATACGCAAATTGTTCTTACAATGCATTTGTCACCTTTGAAAATAGGATATTGCTTTGACCAATTTGTCATAAAGGTACGTTTGCTTTGGCTTTTAACATTTTTTAAAAAAGGAAAGGGTTTTACAATTTAAACATTGTTCATCTTTGATCTTTAACATGTATTACCTTGACCTTCGCAAGCTCAAAGGTCATTTATTAGTATGTCCATACCAGTGAAAATTTAAATAATTAAAATTATGCCAAACTTCCCTTTCGTTTTTATAGTCACTTTAGTTGGGGTCTAACGACATCACTTTTGAACGTTCGTCAAATTAACCTTTTGACCTAACTCGATGAAGTCTGCTTTAACCAATCAAATTTATACCCTCCCCAGCGCTGGCATTTTGTTGTGTTTGTCAGTTTAGGTCAATAGGTTAATTTGTTAACGTTCATGAAGGCCGTCGTTAAACTCTAACTGAAGTGGCTATATTAAAAATAAGAGCTAATAAAAAACGGACCGAAAGTTTGTTCTAATTTGATTTCTATCTTCCCTAAAATTGAACGGAACTGATCTATAACGATGTACACAAATATCATTCCTTGCTGATAAAAATTATCGACGAATTGATGAAATTAAACAATATATAGATAATGTACCATGAAAGTGCGATATAAAAATATTATATGCATTTATATTAGCGATCGATATATTGACGATATTCACGTGTTACTGAGAAAGATTGAGGTATGGGAAAGAAATAACGATTTTAGAGGACCAGCTGTTGGTATGACTGGTCCCATAACCATACACAAACTCAGAGTCACTTACATTCTAACACATAGCGGATATGAAGATACAGTGGTATACCTTTGGAGTATTGTTTCTTCTCTCGACTTGCGTCGTGTGTGAAGAGGGTGACGAGGAGGAACAAGAAGGATTTTCTAATTTTTTAAGCAGTCTATTTAATGGATGGTTTGATAGCCCTTCTCCTGAAGCGGAATCTGATAGCAACATAACTTCACAAGTTGTGCCAGTGAATTCTACCACTGATGATATACCCAACATCGAAATTTCAAATGGCAATACTACGGTGAATGTTACATTGCCTGACGTAAATGGAGAATCACAAGATGCAGGGCTACCATCTTCAACAGGAATGGTAACACCACTGAATGAAAATCCAACGCCATCAGAAGAAAATGAACAACAAACTGAGCTCATTGCTTCTATATTTAGAAAGCTAGAAGACAAACCAAACGGACAAAACGCAGAAGCTGTAACGCCTACATCGACATCGACAAAGAAGCCAGGTTTAGGAGAAATATGTCAAGCTAACCCAGATATGACTTCGTTTTGCGCACTTCCTGAGATAGTTGTGCGATATCTTCAAAAAAACACCAGTATAGAATATCTGTCACGGAAAATATTCAACTGTGATGTTGTCGAGCAACTACAGAATAAATGTGCCAAAGGAGAATGGTGTCTCCCAAGCAAGACTGTTTATGATTTTATGCAGCTTTCAGATTCTTTCCTGGGTGGTTCATTATGTTCACCCAAACTTCGAACATGTTTGAAGGGAATAACTGCTGATCAAGAGGGGTGTCCTATGAGTACGGTATGTACACATTCTCTACTAGTCACTCTGTCACTCAAAAAAAAAAAAAAAAATTGGTATTCACAGAGATGCTCCACGAGGCGATGTAATAACAAATATACAGTGAAATCCCTTTAAACCACATCCCACTGTAAACCGACATCCTCTATAAACCAGTACCTTTGTCAAAAGATCATAACATTATGAATTTAAGGGGACATATCATAACATTAAATACAACGCAATCAGAAATTGAAATTTCAATTTAAAAAACATTATATACATATATGTATATTATATATGTACATTGCTTGAAAACGATTCAAATAATGCGACACAATTTCAGGACAATCTTTACTAAAACGTTTGATTCTGGTACATTTTTATTATAAGCATATCTAACACACGAAAATGTTGCATAAAATCGATAAGGTTATTCTGAGTAATAAATTGAAAGTTAATAGATCAATGAGGAATATCCTACGTTACCACAGCTGTTTATATTTACTTTCTATATTAAAGATGGGTTTCCTTTTTTTTTAGTGTCAAATTAAACAAACTATGCGATCAATTGATGTTTAATTAAATTATTATGTATTCTTAATCATATCATTATGTTCTTATTGCATATACCTAAGAGTCATAAATGTCCATGTATGTACAGTCTGGATAAACAAAAAAAAACAGACATTTTGACCTATTTTGATCTGTCTTTCATTGGAATTCTGCTGGTAATTCTCTTCTAATTTAGCTAATATTGAATAAATTATGGACATGAGAGACAAATTCATTAGAACATCTCTAATTTCTATTCATATAAGTATTAGCATTTTCATTTTCATAAATGAAAGTAAGGGAATCCATCTTTAATATCTATACTCTACAATAAGTATATTAATTGTCAAATGTATCAAGTTATACTTTCATCAAAAGCAGTATGAAAAAGCATAGTGTCCACCAATCTTATTTAAAATTAGATTATCTTTATCTTTTTCTGATATTTTTTTAATCTGCATTGTAATATAAGAATTGTCACAAAGGAAGTATTTGTAACCAATCAAAACGTTTCCTGATAAAATAAGGAATTGTGGTATAGCGAAACCCAAAGTAGGGCAATTCCTTATTTTATCAGGAAATGGGTTTTACTTGACACTCTTGATTGGTTTAAAATATTACCTTTGGGAAAGGCCTTTGGTAAAAAAAATCCTTAAATTACAATGTAGACTAAAAATATCAGACTAAAGAAGATCCGAAAATGTAGGCCTAATCTTGATAGATTGCATGTCAAAAGATAATGACCTACAAGTCATTGTTTGTACATCAAGTTCCCTAATGGTAATGTGAATGAAGAATACATTTTCTAAATAATAGCGCCTTCACCAACGCTACTGGTTTATTTGTTTCCATCTTAATATCGAGATTGTAATCTTGGTATTCCATTGACACGTCCAAGTAGTTATTTCGGTAGTGGATAATTTGACCATTATCGTGTTATGTCATCAGAACAAGTATGAATACTCAGATCTTCCTTGCTGTATTCAGGTGTCTGATTCTTGCTTGAAAGGATGCTATCTTGGCGGTTAGAACAGATAGAAAACGCTTTCCATGGACTTCAGACGATTTCACTAATATCCTGGTTCATATAAACCTCATTATTATATTTTGTTGGTATGAGGACTTTTGGAATGCTATTTTTGTGGATATAGTTTTCTTATCATGGCGGGACTGGGCAAATCATGCATTGCCTTTTAATTCATGATAAGATTCATTTTAACCTCATATATTTTGTAATACTGTGGACATCTGGATTGCGAATATGGTAGGTACATGTGGGTTTTCACCTTCTGATCATCTGCTTACTATTTTTCAGGAGATTTACAATATACATGTTGCTCTAGATTTACTCTGTAAGTTGGGATCTCAAGAAGGGTTAACCTATGAATGTTTTGGGCACGTTATGGCAATGTTGCATGTGAATTTAGCAGATGCTCTCAGAACAGACCAGGTAGGTCGATTATGCAATGCATCTAATATGCTATCATAATAAGTTTGCTCAAAAAGGATCGACGAATGTCAGAATAGCCTATTCTTCTTCACACATACGAGTTTATTAGGAGAATTCTATAAGGTATCGTTCAGCTAATTGATGTTACACGGGTGCGAAAACTCTCCGGGATGAACAACGTATCTAATGCACTGTTGTGACAGGACAGTACACATAGAACAGAGACTATATTGGCAATTCTTGGTATTGTTTCAGGTGAATACAGATGATTTCAATCCAGACCAATGTCACCTTCAAAAGGGCTTGGTAGGTTATTTTTATTCATTATTAATATTCTATTTTGCTCTGCGGCTAGGTTTTGACATTTTAATATGTAATAACGCTTGTGGGAATATGTGCTCCACAAAGGTATGGGTAAACGTCACGTTGTGTTTTTTAAACTTTTAATATAACAGCATACATCATACAGTATTTATGAGAACATGTGGACAATATTTCTGACTTGCGCATTCAAACGGATATCGTGCAATTCGACTGTTGCTTAATATAGATAGGACTTGGGCAACAAATTCTTCTATAGTCCGAACTATTTCACAACGCTACTTTGAAATATCTAGTAAAGAAATTAGACATAATTACATGGGCCTAACAATTACATCAACAGTCGTTTAGTTCTGTTTACATTCTACGTGTTGACCTACTTTGTAAATATATAAGTTTGTAAGTTACTTCCCTTGATGTATGAATTTAGTTGACAACTAAAGATTTGACTTTTTGACAAAGTATGTATCTACAATTATATAACAGAGTGGCCTATTGAAGATTCTTCCTGCAACGGTAACTGACCAAACTTGTGACCAATTGCTATTACTTCATGATAAGTCCATCAACGGTTTTGTTGTTACTTTCGAAATATATGCCATTTGGAAGGACAGTTACTTACCTTGAAGTGAAATTTGTTATATCATTTCATTGTGTCGACATATGGGACATGACAATATCTTGTTTGTGTTTCATGTTTTGTTCTTAACGAGCTCCTGGACAATTTTGTGCGAACATCTAGGGTACACCCTGTTTTGCAATAACTTATTTATTTCTCTTTCAGCAAATTAAACATTTTATCTGTATTCGAGATTTGTGTACCTATCAAACAGATACCATTAAAAGGTATTTTATGCTGTTCAACTTGTATCATATCTACAATCGTCAGCATACATAGACCTGCTGTCAGTGTGCTAGTATTCATTACAGAATACCACTCGGAGGAACGTTGTCGTAAAATAACAAGCTATACCAATATGTAGTATATTTTCACTGAACAATTATAATTTATGGGAATACCTTCAATGGTCAGGCTTAACTTTGTTACGGCAAACATCTGTGGATGTTATAAGTCTACCTTAAATAACATGTCACAATGTCACAGATTCTCGACTCTTTTCAAATACACAACTCCTCTCTGTTACTAGTTTGGTCAATAGGGACAACTCGACTCGTTATGTTCACAATCGATCTCAAACACCCTAGAATAGGTATCCTTGCATCCAAGAAACCGTTCAGTAAGTAGTCTTTCCTTTTTAGTTTCGAACCATGGCAATGGTTTGTCGCGGATGTAGCTTCGTTTGAGGATTCGTGTAAATACAGGGATGTCTGTGGACTGCAGAATCAAGTACCAACAATAACCACTACTGTAGCTACTACAACTACCACCGTGGCTGCTGTTCCCGAGGTGAATAACGCTGCTGTTGACGACGAGGAAAAATCTGAACAAGTATTTGCTAATACTGATAATAAGGTGAGTTCATTTTGTAATGCATAACGTTTAACGTCTGAACTATTAGAAGCTCTTTCCATAATCCCTGGCCATTGATTGAAATATCTTGAAAACACTACGTCAGACTATCCAGCTACTGTCTAAATTGTTCAGCAGCCACTCTCGAGCCTGATAAACTTAAACATGGTTCTTCCTTGGTTCTTAAATTATCATCATCTTTTTTCATCCTCCTCCTTATCATGGGCATCATAATCATCTTCTTCACAATTACCAGCTATTTGCGACTTTTCTTGTATCACAGAATTCATTGATTGGATTGGATTTTAGACCCGACTTTAAATATTATAGCTCATCGTTTACAGTCTTCGTCGAAGGCCCCGATTGTCTGTATCCATTCAAAGCGTTGCATTTACACACTCCCGTGATACAAGTAAGGTGGTTATTGCAGTCACGGTTCAATTTAGTTAGTTAATTTGACGAATGTTCAAGAGGACTGTCAAGATATAAGGAGAAGTTCGTAATAGCTTGTATGTATAATAACCGTTGATGTCGTCATCATCAAGATCATCCACATCATCATTATCATCCTCACCATTGCCATCATTCTTATCATCATCATTTGTGCTCTCCATTATAGTATACCTACCATTTGAAGAACCCCAGAACTAAAACTAAGGTGTTGATTGGAATATCATCAGCAGTTTTAATAGCAACATTTGGTTTAACAATGCTGATCTGTGCTTTATGGTATCACGACATAATCCAAAACGATACCACCCCACTTATTCCAAATTACCAAACGAAGAATCGCAACCATTATATAAGTAATTTTATTAACTGAAGGGTTCAGATTCCATGTAATTTATGTATCAGGCATTCTCCAATTTAATATAGGGGTGAAAATACTAAGCAGGGTTTTAGATGACGCATGGAATTTTATCACCTTTTGTTAATAAAATTTATTTGTACAGTTGACACCAAAGCGCCGTTCACAATGCTGTTGGTCGAACCATTCTAGTAGGGCCTGGTTGCCATGGTAATACTGATTTTAAACTGCTTAGCTGATCAGAGGCGAGTTTTTTGAAAACTTAATATAGATAAATATTAACAAGTTATCTGATCCTCTGATTTAAAAATCGTCGTTATCAATTAAGCAATATAACCCTAGAAAATGAACCAACTAATTTAACTTTAATTCTGTTTTTCAACCTTATGTCACAGAGAGCAGTTTTCTAATACTAAGGGATCAATGTGAGTAATATCAAGTCCGGCATTTTTACTGTCTGGTTTTAAACTTAAAAACTTCAACTTCTACTGAAGACAGTAAGTTTTCAGTTAAAAGGAAATTGTTAATAAAATTGTTTTTCGCTGAGGAAATGCTTCAATCGGGTTAACTTTGGTTCGATCAACAGCATGATGAATTACTATGTATCGTTTTATGTGTATATATATATTGGAGTTGTCGCCCTGGAATAAGCTTTATACTGAATTTGTACTTAATATTATTATACTCTACTATATTTCTCTTTTTGTACTTAATCCAAGAGTTTTTCTTTTGAATTAATATGATGTTACGGATGTACGTTATTAATTAAGTCCTTTCTACAAATACGTGTAATGTATTTAATGTAATACAAAATATATTTAGATTGCAGCTGTGAATGTCATTAGATTGAAAGCATGCGGCACTTACACTTATGACCCTTGTGATAAAGTAATGTTACCAAAGATGCTTATCTACAAAGTCACAAAAACACAGAAGGGTGCATGTTGTATCTACGTTGTCACATACTTTCCTATTGGTTAGTAAATAGGGCTACCTAGTTTACACCCTATCTTGTCTCAGGTTGAATATGATGGCCAAGTTACACGCTAATGTAACATCAGAAAAGATGGAAAAAAGATGGAATACAAGTCCTGTTTCTTTCCTATACATTTGCAAAGTATTCAATGAATTTTACCAACCTGAAATGATAAATGAGAAAGTATTTCATAATGAAATAATACATTGAATTTGTCTTGTATTCCCACTTGTTCTTGTAAGTTTTATTTTCACTTCCTATTTGATGATTACCAATAAAGATGTTTGTTTTATAAACTTGTGATATACCATTATAAATCATGTGTTAATAACAAGAAATTATCTACATCAATTATAGAGCGATATAGAAATACCAATGTTAAAATAGTACTCAATCCATCCATTGTAGAGCGATATACAAATACCACTGTTAAAATAGTGCTCAATACATCAATTGTAGAGCGATAAAGAAATACCACAGTTAAAATAGTACTCAATAAATCAATTATAGGGCGATATAGAAATACCAATGTTGAAATAGTGCTCAATACATAAATTACAGAGCGATATAGAAATATTATTGTTAAAATAGTGCTCAATACATCAATTGTAGAGTAATATAGAAATAGCACTGTTAAAATAGTGCCCAATACATAAATTGTAGAGCGATATAAAAATATTATTTTTAAAATAGTGCTCAATACATCAATTGTAGAGTGATATAGAAATAGCACTGTTAACATAGTGCTCAATAGATCAATTGTAGAGTGATGTAGAAATAACATAGTGCTCAATAGATCAATTGTAGAGTGATATAGAAATAGCACTGTTAAAATAGTGCTCAATACATCAATTGTAGAGCGATATAGGCATATTAAAACAGAACCTAAAATAACATGTTGTTACTCAGTAACAATGTGATATATAAATTGATGAGGTTATTATAACTCATTAGTTATTACACAGTCGACTTTGTTACCATCTGCACAATGGTCAAGGTATAAAGAAGTTGATGAAGATGCTCTGTAACACATATATATATGACCCTGTCTTCAAAGTATCCTGATTGGTAAACAGCAATAGAGACGTAAAGCTGTTAAAAGAGTGTGGACAAGGCCGTGAATATATGGGGCAGAATAAGGTCTACTTTTGTCTTCTGAAAGGCTTCCTTTCTCAAACAAGACCTTTCTCAGGATGAACTAGCACTCGAGGAGCTCCTACACTAAGGGATAATTTTGAAATTTCTGCGGCGCTTTTTAGTCTAGACATGAGAAATATTGCAGGGAAAACCTAATATAAGAAATAGTAAAGATTTATGAGGTGAAGGGGTTAATACAGACGACCAAGGATCTTGAAAGGGGTAATAGAAAAAAGGGGTCCTACACCACGTGGGTCCTCTCATGTCTCAAATTATTTAAAAACATTTCTTGTCGGTGCCTGGCATTTTGAATTCTGATAGATCATTAGATAGACCTCGGCAACATTATTTGCATGTTTGTTACAAAATCGATCTTGTGTTAATTTCGGCAACATCTTCTGAACATGTTTCTCAACAGTGTGTACAGAGCTATAATATAAACTGAAAATAACATAGATATATCGTGAATGAGTTGAGTATGGAACGAGTCCAAAACAAGCTGTGGGAATCCGGCAATAATACTTTACGGTAATTGGTATAATTATTATTAAATAGAAAAACTAGATTGTTTTCTGTGTACTTGAAACTTCATTAAAATTCTAATGGGGATTGAGACAAGAGGTTGTGCCAAAAAAATAATATTTACTTGCTGTTTGTGATTTAAACTGAACCTTGGACTGTTAACACTTTTTCACTGGGTGTAAATACGATTTACGAGAGGCAATCTTCAGACAACTGGACTGTTTCTGTCCGTATTCTTACTGAAGTTTGTCGTCAAGTAGAGATCTTCAGAAAAAATTAAACTATTTCAATCTGTATTCCTACTGAAGATTGTCAAGTAGTGATCATCAGACAACTGGACTGTTTCAGTCTGTATTACTGCTGAAGATTGTCAAGTAGAGATCTTCAGACAACTAAACTATTTCAATCTGTATTTCTACTGAAGTTTGTCAAGTAGAGATCTTCAGACAACTGGACTGTTTCAGTCTGTATTACTACTGAAGTTTGTCAAGTAGTGATCTTCAGACAACTGGACTGTTTCAGTCTGTATTACTACTGAAGTTTGTCAAGTAGTGATCTTCAGACAACTGAACTATTTCAATCTATATTTCTACTGAAGATTGTCAAGTAGTGATCTTCAGACAACTGAACTATTTCAATCTGTATTACTACTGAAGTTTGTCAAGTAGTGATCTTCAGACATCTGGACTGTTTCAGTCTGTATTTCTACTGAAGATTGTCAAGTAGTGATCTTCAGACAACTGAACTATTTCAATCTGTATTACTACTGAAGTTTGTCAAGTAGTGATCTTCAGACATCTGGACTGTTTCAGTCTGTATTACTACTGAAGTTTGTCAAGTAGTGATCTTCAGACATCTGGACTGTTTCAGTCTATATTTCTACTGAAGATTGTCAAGTAGTGATCTTCAGACATCTGGACTGTTTCAGTCTGTATTACTACTGAAGTTTGTCAAGTAGTGATCTTCAGACAACTGGACTGTTTCAGTCTATATTTCTACTGAAGATTGTCAAGTAGTGATCTTCAGACAACTGAACTATTTCAATCTGTATTTCTACTGAAGTTTGTCAAGTAGTGATATTCAGGCAACTGAACTGTTTCAATCTGTATTTCTACTGAAGATTGTCAAGTAGTGATCTTCAGACAACTGAACTATTTCAATTTGTATTTCTACTGAAGTTTGACAAGTAGTGATCTTCAGACAACTGAACTATTTCAATCTGTATTTCTACTGAAGTTTGTCAAGTAGTGATATTCAGGCAACTGAACTATTTCAATCTGTATTTCTACTGAAGATTGTCAAGTAGTGATCTTCAGACAACTGAACTATTTCAATCTGTATTTCTACTGAAGTTTGTCAAGTAGTGATATTCAGGCAACTGAACTATTTCAATCTGTATTTCTACTGAAGATTGTCAAGTAGTGATCTTCAGGCAACTGAACTATTTCAATCTGTATTACTACTGAAGTTTGTCAAGTAGTGATCTTCAGACATCTGGACTGTTTCAGTCTGTATTACTACTGAAGTTTGTCAAGTAGTGATCTTCAGACAACTGAACTATTTCAATCTGTATTTCTACTGAAGATTGTCAAGTAGTGATCTTCAGACAACTGAACTATTTCAATCTGTATTTCTACTGAAGTTTGTCAAGTAGTGATCTTCAGACAACTGAACTATTTCAATCTGTATTTCTACTGAAGTTTGTCAAGTAGTGATATTCAGGCAACTGAACTATTTCAATCTGTATTTCTACTGAAGATTGTCAAGTAGTGATCTTCAGACAACTGGACTGTTTCAATCTGTATTTCTACTGAAGATTGTCAAGTAGTGATATTCAGGCAACTGAACTATTTCAATCTGTATTTCTACTGAAGATTGTCAAGTAGTGATCTTCAGGCAACTGAACTATTTCAATCTGTATTTCTACTGAAGATTGTCAAGTAGTGATATTCAGGCAACTGAACTATTTCAATCTGTATTTCTACTGAAGATTGTCAAGTAGTGATCTTCAGACAACTGAACTATTTCAATCTATATTTCTACTGAAGATTGTCAAGTAGTGATCTTCAGACAACTGAACTATTTCAATCTATATTTCTACTGAAGATTGTCAAGTAGAGATCTTCAGACAACTGAACTATTTCAATCTGTATTTCTACTGAAGTTTGTCAAGTAGTGATCTTCAGACAACTGAACTATTTCAATCTCTATTTCTACTGAAGATTGTCAAGTAGTGATCTTCAGACAACTGAACTATTTCAATCTGTATTTCTACTGAAGATTGTCAAGTAGAGATCTTCAGACAACTGAACTATTTCAGTCTGTATTTCTACTGAAGATTGTCAAGTAGAGATCTTCAGACAACTGAACTATTTCAATC